GAAAAAAAAAAATGTCAACATAACGAAAAGGAGCCTTGTATATACCCATGTAAACATAACAAACAAATATAACACACTCCTCCCCGAAAGAGCTGATCCTTGATCCTTGATCCTTGATTACAGGAGGCAGATAAGACGAAGTGGTTCACAGCCTTCTATGTGTCCTGATGAAATTGATCGTGTGCATAGCAATCACAGCCGAACAAACATAAATTCCCCCGAGACACAGGCCGGTCGACAACAAAAGCAGGCCCTTCCACTGCCTTCCGGAAACAAGAATAGCAAGGGCCGTCGTTACTAAAGCAATCCCAGAAAAAACCTTCTTCCACGCTTCGAACGCCTTCAAGACACTCGCACACTCCTTGCAATGAACCACGTGCCGAAAATACCTATTCGCGAGGTTCGGCGCATGAACTGTTCCGATTCCACCCTTGGCCGGCTGAGAAGCCGAGAGATTCGCCGCGAATCCAACTGGCGCATGCTCGACGACTGCTGGAATTTCCGGAAGGGAAATTGTGCTGTGCCCAAAATGGTAAGGCATCCCGTGCCCAACCTTGTCCATCCATTTCCGGTACTCGGCCACCCACGTGTCTGATGATTTCAGGTTAATGTAAAGTTCCCTCGTGGGCACTTTCTCTTTCATTAAGGTTTCGTTTTGAGAAGAGAGGAAGCCCATGTCTTGTTCGAAAACCTTGCTCGCATTCTGGTGCCAATACCACTGTGGGAACAATTTCAATATCAAGGGTGGTTTTCCAGTGCTTCCAAACCGAACTATAAGCATCGACTTCCCCTGGCCCATGGGCCGGCAGAGGAAAAGCCCCGAAATGTAGATTTTTTTACCATCCTTGCCCGTGCTTTCTCGATTGTTCTGAAGAACACAAGGTGCCTCAAATCTCAAAGAAGATGGAGTGTAATTCGGGTCTGACCGATTCTTCTCTAGGCCCCAGAGGCCCGCGAAGCCTCGATCCGTTCTTTCGGTCACCTCAAAGAATAGTGGGCCCGCATCCTCACGCTTTGTAGTGGTATCCGTGCGATCATGTGAGATGGGGATGTGGGCCGGGTCCATTAGGTTCTCTAAGAGGATCGAGTGATCGTAAGGGAGCTCGTGAGTGGTCGAGATATCACGAAAACCCGACCGGTCAAAGTTTTCGAAAAAGGGCAATTTGTCGGGATTTGGTGGGGCCTTGTGGGACATCCAGATCCAAACAACACCTTGCGAATCTTTAATTTCATATGTTTTCACACAAGCCGATTTGGGGATTTTGGCGCCTGCCGAAAGCTGTACTAAGAAATGTGTACTGTGAGGAGCAATTTGAAATATTGAATTTTACAGATACAGGGAGCATTCACACTAACCTGGGGAATTTTAACGCATTTACCAGTTCCTTCAAATTGCCAACCGTGGTACAAACATTCCAATCTACCATCGGTCAATTGTCCTTCGGAAAGCTTCGCAAGCCTACACAGAAATTACCATTAGGCTTTGGTCAATGAAAACTAATTATTCCTACCAAATAAAATTGCACGGCATTCACAAATTATTATTTCCTCACAATAGAACATTCAAAAATTCTGAACTTATATCACAAACTCACGAGTCGTGTAATAGTGTATGTAACTACACCTAATGCCGCTACTTGGTGATTAACATAAGTACAGAAAGAACCTACAAACAAGAAGCCGTAATGCCACATAAGTTACTAATTGATGCACAAGCATTCTCTTGTACACAAAAAGTTGCAAGAATATAGGATTACATAAGCACAAGCTCCAACAGAAGTACACATGGAACACACGAAGCTGGCAGCACGCAGACGGCAGAGTCGTTTCCTCAATAAATTATCCAAAACCCACCTTTACTCTGTTGCTCATTCTACTAAACAGAAATTCGTGAAAATGATAGAACCGCGGCTTAATGCTGTTTCAGTTAAGACCGTCAAGAACGAAGAGATGAAATTTAGTGCATCCCACCTCAAATACAAAGAACTTGCAAAATAATATCCCACCGGAAATTGAGCGCAGTTACTCACTGATACTATAACCAAACAAAACTCATCGTAATCTTTTTTTACTCAGGAAACTATGAAGGAAGTAATAACAATAACAGTCACCTGTGTGGGCATCGATCTTCATAACACCTAAGCTCGCCATTGCCATCTCTGTACAAAACGATCTGCTTATCAAAGACGGTGAGGCCAAGAGGCGCATCATCCGGCACATTCTTGGTCAGGTAAAGCGGGTACCATTCTTCAGTCCAATCATAGTCCGCCACTTCCTTTTTTCCGATCACCTCTTCTTCAATCACGCTCTCATCGCCTCCGACGGTGGAACTCTCCTGAGCAACTGCGCTCAATTTCCGCCAGTTCTTCTGCAATTGACGACAAGGGTTTATGAGTTTCAAGGCGAAAAGTAGGGTTCTTGGTTTGCGGTGTGTTTGGTTAAACTGAAACGAGGTATGATGAGCCTTTTGTGGGAGAAATGGCTGTGAATGTAGGAGCGCCATGGTTGATTGGAAGATGAAAACAAAATGCTCAACAACATTTTTGGTGGGTTTTAGGGAAGAAAAGAGCAAAAGGGTGCAGCAATTTACTTCTTGGTGTGTACGGATTTGTGACCACACAAATGAAGGGACTTGGTGAGTTGTGACCACACAAACCGAGGGACTTGGGATACAAACATCAGTGGAAAATTGCACTAATCCCACTTGTTTTGCTTTGATTGTCGTAGCATAAGAATCCATGAGCAGAAACTTTCTACATTGATACTTGAAAGATACTTTCAAATCGGATGGTATGATTGTAAGTCTAGGAATAAGACATTATCACTAGCTCGAGCATCGGTTAAAATTTTGTATCCGAGCTACTGAGCTTAGTAATAGCCAATCAAGTATCTATTGACCTCAAAATTTGGACACAAAAACATATCAATCGAAATTTGTACACGAATTAAAGAAACTATAGATAGGTCGAATTTTGATCATTTGTTGCACAACTTCATGGAATAGTCAATGTTTCTAAGCAGCATCACTGGAGTGCCGACATCTAAGTGCAATTTATAATTCGAAAGTCCAATTAATCCCATTGAGAAATTTAGGAGTATGAAGATCCTAAAGAGGGTCATATCCAGCGTCTGATTTGCAAGGGGTGTCCGAACTCAAATAAGAAGAGCTCTGGTGGAGAGGCTCAAAATTGCACACGGAGGCGGAGGATAGGTTTTGAGAAATTGGGGATTTATCCTTGCGAGGAGTGTTTTTTCACCTCCATTGCAAACCCGTTGCACACATTATTTTATGATTTGTCATTCAACTTATGTTTTTGCTTTAATCGATTAGCAATACATAAATTCCCATACAATATATATTGAGATCATAGCTGCAAACGGTGTAAACTGCATATTCTGCTGTCATTCTAATCTAACATGCTCTACACCTCAAAACTAACAAGAACAAAATGAGCCTCCTGGTCAGGGTTGCCTGTTTTCCACGAAAAGTTTCCTCGTACAAAAATAGTTTTTCAAAAATCAAAATATTCATAGTCAGTATGCCCATCACCATATCGGTAATCACCATCCGGATCATCAAAGGTTTCGTCATCTTTGATGTAACCAATATCATGTTCATCCTCATTGTAATTGTCCTCATCAGCTTCTAAGCCCTGGCCTGTTCCATCGTAAGAACTCGGGGAAACTATCTGAGCTGTTTCAAGATCTTGATCCTGCAAAGATTATGCATGTAAACATGATATATCCTTGATAAAGTAAACCTGTTATAATATGTACATAATATGTACAGACAATTTTCAAGATTCTTCTGTGCTCCGTGAGCATATTTCTAGGTACCTAAAAGCTCTGTAAATTTCACTAACAGTATTTGAAGTAAGGTCAAGCTAATACAGAACCCGTTTAAGGTCAAACTACAGAAAATTGAAGAACGAGTAGAATGCCAAACACAGGACGCTTTGCAAAATACTTACCGACTCATTTTCTAGGAGTTTCAGAGCATCATAATTGACTCTGGAGCTTGGTTTCTGCATAACAAGCCCAAATGAACAATTAATAAAAAAGAAAAATAAGCAGAATATGTAAGTCTCCAAATATAAATGTTAATAACTCCACAAAAATGACCCTGCTCAAAGAAACCAACGTTGTGTTCAAGCAAGTTTCAGAACACAAATTCTTACCCTGATCTCCACTTTCTCTGCGGTCTTAGCAGCTTTCTTGACAGTGGCGCCTTTCTTTGTTTGAGTTGTTTTTCTCGGTTTCTTGGCCTGAAACTCATAATCCAATCGAATCAGGTAAAACCACAGCTAAAACTCGAATAGTCTGATGAAATTAAGATAACATGGTACACAGAAAACTGAGGCTATGCTGAAAATCGTTACTTGTCATTGCATTGAAGCAATATTTTTGCATGAAAACTGTGACAGCAAACGAGATGTATAAAGAAACAAATTATACGAGAAAGGAATAAGCTAACTTTTGTATAGTTTCGATTTATTGCTTCCCATAAAGCCCTTTTGTAATCGATCTCCTCCTTGGTGTTGAGGTATCCAACAAGCTGAACAGAAAGAAACATAATGTAATGTGTCATAATATGGTGAAGAAAAATTCAACAGTTCGGCAAGCATGCACAGATTTTTAGTAGTACTACTAGACAAATATGGATATACAATAAGAAAAAAATTGGAAAAGATATAATCCTCTAGAAGTAATACAGAAAGGACAGATTGTCATATTCACTACCAACAAGCAAGATGTGTTTACAATGTTGATAGAATTATGACATACCAAAAAATGAAACAAACCAGAGCATTTCTTAAGAGAAAGTCGCATCGGTTTCTGCAGCTCACCATGAAATTTGGGTGCAATAAGTATACATTTTTTTCTTTTAGAATAGTCACAAGAATCTTGTCAAAGTAGCAAATTTACATAAAGAAGCCATCTTTTGTTGGCTACTTGAAGATGAACTAAGCTAATGGTGCACAACACGATAAACATCAGGAACTAGATTAGCATGAGATTTGCATACTATAATTCAACAAGTACACATTTCCTCTTCAAATAATCACATCTTTTATAACCTTATTTGAAAATCAAGAAATGTGCGCAAAACAATCAAAAGTAACAACTACCTCAGAATCATCAATATCGGACAGGCTATCTCGATTGTCTTTCTTTCTCTTTTGAGTCCGCCTGTAACATTTAACCAATCCACGACTCATGCCCCGGCTTCCACCTGAAGGGTCAGAAGATCAAGATTCACATTGTAATCGAAATACATCAAACATTAAAAACAAAAAAGCGAAAAACGGGTACCTTTATTAGACGCCTTCCTCGGCTGGACGGGTTCACATGAACCAGAATCTTCACCTTCTCGGCAAGAAGGTTCGATTCTTCCCTCCACCTAAAGTAATACAAAGCCAATTTTTCTTAAAACCACGTCTATGGAGAAAGCAACACGACCACCAACATGAAAAGCTCATAATTTCGGCATTTTCAATCAGCAGCAAACTGGAAAATCAAGAACCCACAACACTACATAACATTATCATATCAAGATTCAGTTGCATCTATGAAGCATTAAAAATAAAAAAAAATAAAAAAAAAATAAAAAAAAAAACCTGTTGTTTCGAATCGCCATGGGAGTCGTGCGCTACCGCCATTCGCCTATTTTCTTTTCCCTGTGAGGGCTGAGCACCAAGCCGCTATATATACATATATATAGGTCATGGTTCACCGTTATTTACCAATATAACCCGTAATAAGTTTCAGTTTGAATCTTGAAAACGTCCTCTATGTCACCTTGCCAAAAGGGTATAATTGGATTTAAGCATATTTATCGATGTGGCCCATATCATCTTAATATCTTATGGGCCGAGCTACCACCTGATACTATTAATGGGCTCATCCTAACTGGCCCAATAAATAATCAATATTCATGCGACTCCCAAAATCTTTTGAAACTAGTACAACACTCGTGTATTACATGGGTGCTTGTTAA